AATTAAATAAGACAAAACTGAACCTGCACTCGGAACTTCCAGGGCTGTACTTGAGGGAAAAAATGCCACCCAGAAGAAGTCTGGCTAACATTAATTCACTCTTCACACCAGGCCAGCTTCTGGCTTTGTCTGGGAATTTCCTCAAGTCTTACAAGTGTTTACAAATCTGTTCAGTGACAAAGGTCTCTGCAGGTATTACAAACCACAGAGTGATGATCCTGTGCTTCCCCATATTCATTTCCTCCCAGGAGGATACTTCAATACATCTACTGTTGTGACTATTTATGTTGGAGCCAGAAGCTCTATGAAGTGTGCAGTCTGATCAGTGTATGTAATGTAGGCGATATTTATCCAGCACCTACCTTAACTTCCACAGGCCTTCCAAGCCACAGCTTGATTTTAAGCCATTTAACTGGAAGCCATGCCACCCTAGCAAGCACTCCACCATACACCTTTTTTCTTCTCCATCGCTGTTCTTTTCATTCGCTATCATCTCTAACAGTTGCTCCCACGTTTCCTACCTTCCTCTTTCTCTTAATCCTCTTTAATTGCAAACCCTAACAGAACATGCAAGCTGAATACATCCTTACATAAATTCCCCCTCACACACAGAACAATCCCTTTTGGAACCAACAAACAAGGAATCTGGCTGTTTATCCCTAGGTCTATTAGAGACATGAGGAGTAAAAAGGAACGCGAGAATACTTGGTTTATAAATGCAACTATCTCCCAAAACTTGTGCAGTTTGTTCCAGACTTTCCAAAACATTTAGGGTTAGACTCGAATACAGCACGTGCATTCCGCTGTTATCAAGTTGTTCTTACAGGATGAGGATTGTATCCTTGAAAGCAACAACCTTACAAAGGACTTTGAGGGGAACACTGAACTTGAAAAGTAGCCCTAGCACCAACTCCAGTTCCCTGCTACCACAAGCAATACCATGCGTGACTTTTAGCACACTCCCTCTCAGCAGATGTTTACTTCCATTCGTCTCAACCGAACAATATTCCTCACTATCAGTCCTCTAATAAGGAACCATCCAATTGGGAACAAGCTCCCAGTACAATGCTGTGCTAACGTGGCTAACCAAAACAACGGGGAATAGCAGGTACCAGTTTTGTAAACGGGAATGGTGTGACTATTCTGGCAACAGCATGCCAAATTCTGAAGTCCACGTAGTCAACGATTATTGAAAAACTCGGGTAAGTTCTGCAAACATAAAGAATGATGGCACATCATTTCAGCTTCGCAATCAAGGCTCACTGAGCCCAGTCTATCTAGGTTTGGAGAAAAGCTTACAAGACAGCTTGGTCAATACCCATATACATCTACGTAGGGATAAAAATATCTATTACTAGGGGCTTGTTTTATGAGCAAAGAAAGGCATAATGAGAAAAAACAACCAAGAGCAAAAGTTAAAAAAATCCAAGAGGAAATAGGATCTTTCCAACCATGAGAATAACGTGTCTTTGCGACAATGCTCGGAGACTGTAGTATGGTCTCAGTCACTGGGCTCCTACCATCAATACTTTGAGAATCCAGCTACCTTTCTGAGAAAAATACCTTTCCAAAAGTTTCGCTCTGGTTTAAATACAACGCTGAACACTAATCTCTTCTGTGCTGTACACATGACCTTATACTTCGAATAGCCTGTTCTGTTCTGAAAAATTCATGAACTTTACTATGCCATCAAGTCTAAATAGTCCCATGCATTAAATCTGCAGTGCCATAAAGCCATCTACTTTATTTTCCATAAGTAAAGGAAAGGATGTACAGAAGTTATTTGCTTTGTCAGGTATCTGCCTTCAGGCCAGAAATTCCCTAAAATTAATGAACAGAAACAGACTGAATGTCCTTTTCCATTTTCGAAATAAAATTATAAAGAAGGTATTTCAAAATGTCTCTGGCACTTGGAAGATAAATCTGACTGTTAGCAACACATCTCCCCCTCCAAAACCCCTCTTGTCTGAATTTAGCAGCTATAAGCATTCCAGTATTGTTTTTCAAACAACATTTAAAAAGAAAGTCTTGCAAGGACTCATTTTCCAATCATCTAATTAGCATCAGCCCTAAGAGGGCAAGAATGTTATGTAGGGTGAACAAATTCACGAGTCTTATGAGTTTAAAAAAAAAAAAAAGAATATAGCAGAAAGCTGCATTTCAGAGCATTTCGTATTGTGTAGTATCAGGCATTTTCAAGGGAACAAATGATCCATTTAATTAAGGGCTTCGCATTCTGCCTCAGACAACATCAAATATTAAAGGGGAAGATGCAATCAGCCCTCTAGTGGGCAAATACAGATTCAAAAAATGTTAAATCTATATGGATAATGAGAACATCGCATCTGACACTAGCAGCACTTCAGTGTTCTACTTCAGTGAAATTCTCCCAGCTGGGGAGAGGAAAAGTTGGGAGTGCTCCTTGCTATGCACGAATAAAACACTGTATGAAATAACCTGGGTTTTTTCCCTCTTTTTAATTTTTTCTCCTCATTGTGTTTCTAAACTACCACTACTTTTACTGTATTCTTTGAAATCAAGTATCAGAAATGACTGCTGCACTCCCACTGACAGTGCAACACAACATCCCTACAGCCGCCTGTTATGGCTCTGCAAATTCAGACAGCCTAGGAGAACATATTCTTAATAACACAGAGGTTCATATAAATAGTTAATTTAGTACCCAGCCATATGCCAGAGATCAAAAGTAACCCCTTCCACTGTTTATAATCCTTTCTTTTTATAGGGCATAGGCAGGGAACTGAAGTGAGACATTCAGTGAATATTCACGTTAGACAGGAACACCCTCAAAAATCACAAAATGCCAGTAAAAGGTGGATGTACAATTCTAATTCCGCTCCCATATGAAAGTCATCATGAGTCATAAACAAAACGATGCTTATAGCAACTAGGCTACAACTCTGTGGCACACACTGCCATATATTTTTCCACTTTTCATGGAATGTTCTGCCTCATTCATCAGATGCTGTTACGAGATAAAATATCATTTGAAATACCAGCTCATAGTAAAATTTCCCTAACATGGATTAACAGTGTTTTTCCATCAAGTGCTTGCTTAATCAGTATCACAATCGTAAAAACTATGTAAGCTTTTACACGACTTTGAGAATTCAATTTTGTAATATCAGTTACTGGGATTAGCAATTGAGCCCTTGCTCCCTCTATTACACTACAAATACAAGTTAGACCACAAGCTAAAAAAAAAAAAGAAAGAAATCAGGAAGGTGTGAAGTTAAACTAGATGATAAGAGCAAGCTTAGGCTGTCAGAGTCAGCAGTTCATTTAGCAAGGAAAGAAACTTACTGCCTTTGCAGTGCAGAGTTAATGAAGTAACTAATGCAAGCATAGCATAATAATGGATGTGCAGTTCATGGTAATGCTAATTAACCCTTGCATTCCCCTTTTTTTTTAGAAAAAGCTCAAGTTAAACATTCTCTTGCTAACGTTTTGTAAGAGGCAGGGGAAAGGAGTCAGAACAAACATCTGAGATAGCTAGAAAACTTGCTAAGACCTAAATAAAGCCAGTGCATATGAAGACACCAAATGAAATATGAGTTGTACCTCTGCTTCCACACTCCTACACCCAGCACCAATTCCTATTCAAAAGTTAGTATTACGCTTCCATTTAGCAATTCACACTACTGCCATGTGTACCATCAAATCTGTCTGCTACACCCAGAGATCTTAGCCAACTTATTTCCACAGTCCTTCAGTCACTTGGTGGCTTGATAAGACTACAGAAAAAGCATATTCTCCTGGCAAGGCAGCAAGTGTTTTTGAATACTCTCACCATAAAAAGCAGTTTTCCAATTCTCAGACTTGTTCCTGCATTTTGTCCATTTTTCCAAAAGATCTTAAAATACCAGACCCAGAATTTTGTGGTATTTCAGCATGCTTCACAAGTCGTCTGACTTCCTCTAATGACTCCAGCATTTATTCAACAGTTGCATTTCCCTCTTCAGTCACAGCTTTGCACTGGG